GGCTTTAATTACTTGATTCACGAACTCTGTTCCTCGATCAGTTCGGATTTTTGCAATTTTCAAGTCTTTCTCGTTTTGTAGTAACTTGAGTAGTTCTGGCAGCTTTTGCTCGACTTCGTTTTTCTTTTTGAGAAATATCGTCCATGTGTACCTGGAAAAATCATCAACAACAACTAGTGTATATTTCTTACCACTTAGACTTGCAGGGTCTACTGAACCGAATAGATCCATGTGTAGTAGACTTAGCGGTCTTGTTGTAGATTCTTGGGCTTTGGATTTGAAAGATGACTTGATTTTCTTTCCTCTTTGGCAAGCATCACATATTTGATCTTTCTTGTAGATAATGTCGGGTAAACCTTCAACGAGTTTGTTTCTTGCTAGCTTGTTGATTGTCTTGAAGTTTAGATGATTCAACTTCTTGTGCCATTCCCAACTTGTTGCGTGTGAGTTGTTTGCTAGTAGACACACTGATTCTTTTGTTGTGTGCCAATCCACAACATACATATTTTTCTTCCTTATTCCTTCGAGCACTACTTCTCCCGAGGAATTATTCTTCACTTGGCACTTGTCTTTGAAGAACTCAACTAGATATCCTTTGTCACAAAATTGACTTGTACTCAACAAGTTGAATTTTAGACCTTCAACAAAGGATATATCTTCGATTTTCAAACCATTTCGAAAAATTGTACCAATTCCTTTTGTTATGCCGTATCGTTCATTTCCACCGAATACGACTTTTGGTCCTTCGATATTTTTAAGATTCACAAGACTAGATTTATTTCCAGTCATGTGTCTAGAACATCCACTATCGAAGTACCAAACTTCCTGCAAACAAATTAAACGTTTTTAGGTACCTAACTTGATTTGGGTCCTTGAGTGTTAGTCATTTTTGGTACCCAAATCCACCTTGTACTCACTGATCTAAGTTTAGGTGATTGGTAACCATTAAACACATTATAATCATATTTAATTTTTGAAAACATTTTTTGTGCCGGTTTTTGAAAATTTACTCGATTTTTTGGCACGTGGGAAGAAGATTGTTTGGGCCTATGATATGCATTAAATCTGGACTTAGTCCATGGTTTAATATAACCAACCCAATCTTGTTTTGAGGGATAAAATCTCCCTGCCTCAATTCTTGGATTCCTTCCCATTTTCCTATGAGGGCTTTGTGCACTAGACTCATTGGTGTATTTCCATTTAGGAACAAACTTTTGCCTTTTTGTATGCTGTTTAGGTGAAATAATATTTCTTTGGGGTTTTGGCCTAACAGTATTAATTTTGACATTCGTTTGATAACCAACTCCTTGTCTCACTGTGCTTTCTTGACCTTTTACAAATTTTACTACTTGGACTTTATTACTTAAAGTAGTAGTAGAATTGGCCAAGTTCTTGGAGGCTTGAGAGCACGATGGATCATAACCGAGTCCGGTTTTATCACTTGAGGGTTTTTGCATATTTACCATTTTGTCCATTATTTTGGATGAATGTGTAAATGTTGCTATAACCTCTCTAAGGTTGTGTTCTCTCACTTCCCTTGATTTACACTCTTCTTGAAGACAAATAATTTTATCTTTCAAGTCTTTCACTTCAAGTAGAGCATTTTGCAATTTCTCATTTATTTGATCTTTTTCGAGAATCAAAAGACAATTGCGCTCTTTGAGTTGAGAGTGAGTGTCCATTACGGTTTGACATTCTTCCATTAAGTGAAAGAAGGACTCTCTAGAAAATGAAGAATTGACAGAATCATAAGAGTGAGATGTTACCTCATTTTCTTCATTTCCATTTGCCATAAGACACATGTCCTTTGCTGCGTTCCACGATTTCCCTTGTGGATTTTTCTTGTAGTTGCTTCTCTTCATGAATTTCCTAAATTTTTTGACAAAGAGAGCAAATTGATCCTTAGGCAATAATTCAACATTTTGTACTGACCTTGAGGTTGATGGTTGCTCGGCTATAAGTGCGTTGTTCTTTTCTTCATGATCTTCCTCTAATCTTGATTTCATCTCGAATTCATAAGCTTTTAAATCACTAAAGAGCTTATCGGTCGATAGGGTTTTTAAATCCCTATGATCTCTCATGGCCGTGACTTTCATGTCCCATGTAGATGGTAGACCACGTAGAATTTTGAGTGAGATTTCTTTTTGATTAATATCTTTTCCAAGATCATTAATCTCTCCTAAGATTTTGGCAAACCTTGTTTCCATGTCGGTGATATTTTCGTCGTTTAGCATTTTGAAATCCTCGAATTTCTTTAATGCTATAGTGAGCTTATTATCCTTTTCTTGCTTGTCTCCTTCACCAATTTGAATGAGTGTTTCCCAAACTTCCTTCGCGGATTGACACTTTCGAACTTTTGGAAATATCGTGTCATCGATAGATTTAAACAAAATATCCTTGGCAATATTGTCCAAGTTATTTCTTGTTCTATCTTCACGAGACCATTCCGCTTTTGGTTTTGGAATGTATTGTGGAGTGTCACTTGTTTGTACGGATGAGGTGTTGACTTGCAAAATCTCAATAGGACCACTTGTAACCACTTCTCACATTTCATCATGTAATGCGGATAAATGTACCTGCATGCGAATTTTCCAATCATCAAATTTCTCTAAGCAAAATAATAAGTTTTGGGCAAGAGCCATATCTCTTTTCATCATCTTGATTATTCGAGATTTGTCTAGCAGTCAAGATTGACTCAAATAGACAACCGATCTGATACCAATTGTTGGTCCCGATAGGGTGGTGAAAGTCTAGAGGGGGGGGGGGGTGAATAGACTTTCAAGCTTTTTCGAAATAAATAACTCTTTGATAACTTCAACTCTAAGTAACAAGTAAATAGAGTAAGTTTAAACTGCACAGCGGAATAAGTAGTATGTAAAGAGTTATGCCCAATCAATAATTTAAATACGCATGAAAGATAGGTACAGATGATATTTAAAGTGACAGAGATATCTTGAATATATAAAGGAGATGGTTCACTCAATATGTAATAACAATATTCAAGAATGTAAATAAATATCGTATCACGTCGACCGTGTAGCGAATGTTACATGCAACACGTCAAACTTGCTTAGAAAGATTCAATATTTAAGCTCGAGAAGTTTGAGTCTCATGCATAGGTGAAAACATGCTAAACCCAAAAGATTAAGATAAACTGTGAATAGTAAACGGGTTAGTCGGATAAGATAGATAGATAGAGCAAATTATGTAAGTGCGGTATGTAAATGAGAGAGGCAATTTAAAGTGGTTCGGAAGTGGCGTAATCTTCCTAGTCCACTTTTCTCCTTTCGCGTCTAGGAGAAATTCACTATTTTCTACACACAGTTACAATAGTGAATAAGCGCTACACAAGCACTTCTTCCGGATGTTTTGCACACAGCTACACCCAACTCCAAGTGTCTCGCACACAGCTACACTTAACTCCGAGTATTTCGCACACAGCTATACTCAACGCCAACTAAGTGTCTTGCACACAACTACACTTAGCAACTACGCGTATTTTGCACACAGCTACACTCACTAGAGTATTTTGCACACAGCTATACTCTTTTTACAATTACAAATACAAAGGTAATTGTATCTCTCTCCAACTAGATTTCTGAGACTATTCAGACCAAGTCTCTAAGAATATTTGAGCACTTGCACTTTTAAATTTCCGTGTGTATTGCACTTCTATCTCGTGTCTATCTTGTGCACCTTTTCTTTTTTTCACCGCTTCTGTGTCTTCAAGTCTTCATGGCTTTTTATAGGCAATCAAATATATCCGTTAGAGTGAGATAATTTGATATTTGAAATTTGAATCTTCATAGCATGATATTGTTGACAATAGTAGGTCTTCAATTTTGATTTGATTGTCAACTTGCCTGACAAATAATATTTTATCACAACTTGATTTTCTAGTTGTTTCTTGAAATATTATTTTTCTTGTTATTTTGAATATCTAACGTATCTTTGAAATAAATTCATCTGATGGAATTTATTTCTAGGATAAGTTTTTATATTCATGTCTTCATAAATATTTTTCCGTTCTGATCAAATGTCTTTCAGGCAATTTTGGATTCTTGTAGCATGTGGGTAGACTTAGAATAAATTCCTTCGAATTTACCCAATTTCTGATCATCTTGCTTCTTTGCCACATTGTGCTCCTTTGACTTGAACATTGTGCTTTTCTGATTTGGTCACATTGTGCTCCTTTGGACACATCGTGCTTGTTCACATTGTGCTCCTTAGCACACATCATCGTGCTCTTTTGGTAGCATTGTGCTCCTTGGCACATTGTGCTTGTCCGAAAACTTGACTTGTAAAAATAAGTCCTTGGGGGGGAATCGATCTCGGGTGTGATCATTTTGAGTAAGGACATCTACCATTTCGTCGTTAGGCTCATCCGGTCATTCTTTGCAATGCCATTCCTTTATGCTTCTTTCTCGGATGAATACTCGTAGGACCAAAATTAATTTCTCAAATTAATTTTGTTCTTCCTATGGTAGATTCCTTTTGACTCGATATTCTGATTTATGATGCTTGTACTAAAAGACCTAAAAACACTAGTACAGAATAGAGCAAAGAAATTCTACTTTTAGCTACCCTTCTTTAAACAAGGATAGTGTATTATTTTTAAAAAAAGGGACGGTGGCATAATTGTAATTAAATGAATAAGAAACCGCTACCCTTTCTAAAAGAAGGGTGGTGGTTTAAAAAAAAAAAGACGGCAAGAGTTTCCGCTGCCCTTTCGCGTAGCAAAGGGCAGCGGAAACGATATTATAAAAAAAAAATAAAACTTAAATTAGAAAAACCTAACCCTCGTACAACGCGTTCTCTCCTCTCACCGCTCACATCTCACATCCAAGCTAGGCTTCTGCAAATCGATCTCACACCCTCGATCACCGCATCTCCGGCGAGGACACGGCCTCGACCACCGTCTCATCGTCGATTCACCGCCCCACGCCCTCATCCGCCGTCTCCACCGCCACAGGGTCGCCTGCTTGAAATTATTGGAGATAATGTTTCTATTAATTACATGCATGTCTTTACAACACATGACAGTGTTGATGCTGGGACCATTGAATTGGCATTGGATCCAAGGATTAACCGAACTGGGGATATATGGCACATATGTGTTGAGGTAGTAATAGTCATTGCTCTAACATTGCCTTCTTGTGATTTTGAAAGTGAGTAAACAGCTTTTATACTTGCTTCTGTGGCATGTTGGTAAGGTGATAATTTGCTCCAGGCTTCCATTACTTTCTTACAGCATAGTAATCATCTTTTGCCTATTTGAAATACATTTATTTATGTAGAAAAAAGAAGGGAACTAACGAAACAATGATATTGTGGTATGGCAATAAATAGAGTAACCATAAAAATTGCTACTAGTCTGTTAATTAATAGTTATCCTGATTTTCATGGAGACAAGCCTGTGCAGTACCCTGGAGTTCAGATCTAACTCAGAAGTCCGAGTGCACATCTGTATAAAATATGTTCAGCATCAAAATATGACAAGAAGAAATGAGTAGGATAGTGAATTTATTGTTTTGATTAGCTGCTGTTGGCAATGCTTCTTTCAGATTTGTTTATATAGTAATTTAAACTAATTCTAACAAAGGGGAGCAGTTGTGAGTTTCCTCTTTGAAATTGAAGAAATCTCTTGGAGTCTTGGGACCAAGTAAATTCTGTTATCGCCATTTTCCATTTTCAACTACTGCATGAAATATCAACATACTGTTAACAGCTTACATAAAGAATATCTGAGTAAAGTTTTTAGATTTCTCTATCTTTGGAAATGGGGATATATTCTTCTCAGACATACCTCTTTTATGTTATTGCCATTATTTTAAAGTCACCTTGCTTGTTATTCTGTATCTTCAATTAATTATATATGTTTATAATGCATACTCTTAAGCTTTTGTCATGCAGGATCTGCCTCGTAGTGGAGTACAGTATGGCTATTGCATTGATGGTCCTCGGAGTTGGAATAAGGGACATCGATTTGACAGCAGAAATGTTCTAATAGATCCCTATGCAAAGCTAATTGAAGGTTGTCGACTTTTTGGAGATGTCAGCAATAGGATGTGCACATTTTATGGAACTTATGATTTTGATAGTTTGCCTTTTGACTGGGGTGACAACTACAAGCTTCCAAATATTCTTGAGGTAGATTAAAATGAGTTTCTTGAGTGCTCTACTTCCACTTGCTAGCCTGCAGATATGAAGATAACTTTAGTTTCCTGTCAAATTACTTAGCTTAACATTAGATATTTAAGCTTTGCAAGATGCCTGAAAATTTTATTTGTGTAGCATTACATGCTCATGCATACTATGGCATTTGATTCTTTTTTTACGTTATATACGTTCAGTTTAACAGCACTTACTGATTCTTCAGATGCCGTGCTACATCTCATTGTCCTGCAATTTTTTTTTTTCCTGTTTGTAGAAAGATCTTGTAATATACGAGATGAATGTCCGTGCTTTTACAACCGGTGAATCAAGTGGCCTGGATCCAGACATAAGAGGGAGCTACCTTGGTGTGATTGAAAAGGTGATGACTGTGACTTTTAGTTTCACATAATTCACCACAATTGTATTGAACACAGTATTGTTCATCATTGGCATGTGAAGATTCCACATCTTTTAGAGCTTGGTATCAACGCAGTTGAGTTACTGCCTATTTTTGAGTTTGATGAATTGGAATTTCAAAGGAGGCCAAATCCACGAGACCATATGGTAAGATTTGATTGACCACCAATAGGCTCTTTTATCAATTAGTCTCTTCATTGCCTGTCATGACTCATGAGTAACTCTGCTTCTGTGTGGTATAATGCATGGGAAATTTGTATTTTGAAGATAAACACATGGGGTTATTCAACAATGAATTTCTTTGCTCCTATGAGTCGCTATGCAAGTGCTGGTGGGGGACCCGTTAATGCTTCTAGGGAGTTCAAAGAAATGGTCAAGGTTTTGCATGATGCGGGAATAGAGGTGTATTATTTGCTCTTGAATTTCTGTGGGATATAACTTGTTCTCTACAGTCAATGTGTATGCTGTGTTTTGTGATGCACTAACTTTTTCTCAACTTTATAGGTCATCTTAGATGTTGTCTACAACCATACAAATGAAGCTGGTGATGAGAATCCATACACAACATCATTTCGCGGCATTGACAACAAGGTGATGGCATAATCCAATGATATATCTAGGTTTTCATGGGATTAAATTACTGGTTCAGTTTTTCGTGCGTATGTTTCTTTCAATTCGTTTAGGAGGTTTAGAGGTATAATGTTATCTTTTATGACATTTTTATGCACAGCATTTTAGTAGGATACTTTTATAGGTATTTGGAACACTTTCAGAATTGCTTCAGACCATATAGATTATCAATACTGTCCAGAAAGTTATTGGTGACTCAATATTGGCACTAGATTGATAATGAAAAAGGGAAAACATTTCACATGTTCCTGCTATAAGCCTTTAGTTACAACTTACAATTGATGGTTACCATACACTTGTAAAAATAAAAAGAGATAATTAAGTATTATTATCTTATATTTGTTTGCATTGGTCATCCATGCCCATCAAATTCCAACGCGGAGTTAATTTAGTGCTCTTTTCACCTGTTATATTTACATCTATTCCTGCTTCTGCATCACCTAGAAGAAGAGGTCCTAACTCTTGTAGAAATTTGAAAAAGAAGAAAGCAAATGAACAAATTTCAGTTCAATTTGATGAGCGCAATAGGGCAATTGGACCATATTCGAAGAAGTTTGTGTCAATTACACCTTAGCTATCATTTGTTAGTTGCCTTCTTATGCTTCTTCTTCTGCTTAAAATGGTGAGCTTTGCCCAAATGGTTAGACATTAAATAAAAATGTCTAAGAGTAGTATTGCATATTAATTTATTTAAGTGCTTGATTTTTGAATTGTCAACAACAGTGTTTAAGAGTAGTATTGCATATTAATTTATTCTGCAAGTTGAAGGGAGGCCTTATTTTGTGGTGCTGGCTGGGAGGGATTGTGTATTGAAAGAAAAATGAGAGTGGGGTGTTGTGGAAATAAGAAGAAAGTTGAAAAAAGAAGAGAGAATGGGGAAGGTGAGGGTGATTTGCAGAGCTATATATGGGATCCTGGGGGCCTTGGGAAGCAATTGCAGGCTTCTTGTCCAGAATATGGAATAATATAGGTTGTGCAACTGTCATTTTTGCTTTCTATTATCCGTTGTGCTGTGTAAGAACTGTGAACTGAATTGGTGAAGGCAGTTTCAGCTGGTGTAACAGGTGGTCATAATCTGGCTTACCTCTTAAAGAGCTGAACTGTTTTATACCTGAGAGGGCAGTAGAGTTAAGAAGGTGCATGACTGTTTGCTTGTTTGCTTAGCTTATAATCCTTGCATATAGCATGCACATTGAGGTGGGGGTGCCCATCTATTTGAACTTAAGAAAGGGGAAAAGATTGAATTATTATTGTTCAAATTTAACTTTCTAATGTTGAATTATTATTATTGTTATTATTGTGATGCGATACATGTTTGATATTGTGACAAAATATTCAACTGTTGATAAATTAGATGAGGTAAGTGAATTTAAATAGAAGTATTTATAGTTCAATTATATTTTATTAATTAATATATTTAATAATTTGATTACTTAAATTATTTTGTAGGTATTTGAAAGCAATCCGTACTCTACCGATGAAATTGATGAGATTCGAGACTATTGGGCAAAGTACTTCTTGGAAGAGTGCATGTAATTAAATTGTTTTTTTTTTTGCTAGTTGGTTAATTAAAAGTTTTTAGGTAATGCATGTGTTAACTATATATATATATATTAGGATGTATTGTGAGAGTATTGTATGTGTTGAAAGTATTTGGATGGATTATGATAGTGTTGAAATTGTATTATTGATAATATTGTGTTAGGTTGATCGATGGGAGTATTGTTTTTATAATATTATGTTGATATATATTTAATTTGTGAATATAAATTTTTATAGGATTAAAAAAAAATTGGGAATTTTAAAAATAATAAATTATTTTTAAAATAAAAAAAACAAATCCGCTACCCTTTCTATGAAGAAAGAGTAGCGAATGAAGTAGTAACATAAGCACTAATCCGCTACCCTTCTATCAGAAGAAGGGCAGCGGATATTCTAGTAATCCGCTACCACTCAACAAGGGACGCGGAAACATATAGGGTTTCCGCGACCCTCGTATACGCTACCCTTGTACAAGGGTAGCGGATAGCCCTGTACAAAGGTAGCGGATTTACAAATCTGTACTAGTGAAACTAAGGGGATCTAAAGTGCATTTGGCTCATCAAAACTTACAAAAAATATTCCTATTTGTGAAGCAGATTTAAAACAACCTACTTCATGCTTAAGCCATTAAAGTAACCGATCGGGCCGCCGTATGCAAACGGTCGAGCAATCACCGATCGTATATACATTAATATTTCCCGTGCGCAGACGGTTAACAATTTACAAATATACAAGCGATAAACGATGGACAGGCCCACTCGCAGGTCTAAGCCCCCACTCCATCTACAATTACAAAGACTAATGCCTAAACAGGACGAGGTGCTCGGAGTTCCAAGTGCCCTCGATCTGCCTCCCGGTCGTTGTCTCCAATTGGTAGGTTCCCGGTCGCACGACGGCCGTGATGATATACGGACCTTCCCAATTTCGAGCTAGCTTTCCTCCTTTCAAAGGCTGACTTGCCTCCCGACGACGTAGAACGTAGTCTCCGACCTGAAAATACCGAGGGTTGACCCGAACATCCTTCGAACTCTTTACTCTCTTCTGATACTCGGTCATACGCCAAGCGGCTAGCTCTCTCTTTTCCTCGACCCCATCAAGATCCACGACCATGGAGTGTTCATTTTCCTCGGCATTGTAAGATCGCTCCTTATCGGTCGGGATCCATGCCTCGATCGGGAGTCGAGCCTCGGCCCCAAAGACTTGGGCGAATGGCGTCTCCAAAGTTACTTCCCTTGGGGTCGTGCGATAAGTCCAAAGAACATAAGGGAGCTCATCGGTCCAGCTATGACCGGCAGAGTGCAACTTCTTCTTAGACCTTCTAGAATTATCCGGTTAGCATTCTCGACCTGTCCATTCCCCTGGGGGTAAGCCACTGACGATCGAATGGAAGTTGTCCCGATCGTTGCAAGAAAGTTCTGAAAGTATTGGCTTACAAACTGTCGGCCGTTTTCGCTGATGAGATGAACGGGCACGCCGAACCGGGAAATGACATTGCGCTAAAGAAACCTAGCGCACTGTTGGGAAGTGATCGTGGCTAATGACTCGGCCTCGATCCACTTGGAGAAATAGTCGATGACGACAATGACGAACCGTCTCTGACCGGATAATTGCGGGAATGACCCCAAAATGTCCACCCCCACCTTGCAAAAGGAATTGCAGTCGTGACCGGCTGGTAGAAAGTGGCCGGTCGTCCAGGCGTCCGAGCAAATAATTGGCACGTTTCACACCCTCTTGCTAGCTTCTCACAATCTAGCTGAAGGGACAGCCAGTAATACCCAATCAGCATGATACGGCGAGCTAATGATCGGCCTCCTTGATGCGACGAGCAGATGCCAGAATGCAATTCCTTCATTACCAAGTCAGCTTCGAATGCAGTCAAACAACGCATGAGCAGGCCTCCATACGACCGCCTATACAGACGACCGTCTTGGACCTGAAACCTTGGAGCTCTGAGCTTGGCTTTCCGAGCACGCTGGGGGTCGTCTGGTAACCGACCGTGCTGGAGGTACTCCATCAGATCTATAATCTAAGTATCTTCTGCCGGTTGGATGGGTGCGACCGGCAGCCGGTGAATGCTGTGCCTCGGGATCACCAGAATCCAAGCAATTTTTGACATGTGTTCCAGGGCGTCTTGTGCCAACTTAGACAAGATGTCCGCATCAACATTGTCTAGTCGGGGAACATGTCGAATGGTGTACCCCCGGAACAAGGTGAGCTTCTCCATAGAAAGGTCCCGGTAAGCTTGTAATCGCTCACCATTTACTTCATAATCACCCAGGACCTGCCCGACCACAAGTGCAGAATCAGTCTGAGCCCGGATGTAATCAGCCCCCAAATCCCGAGCGCATTGTAGGCCGTTGAATAAGGCCTCATACTCGGCTTCATTATTGGTCGGATGGAACTGATACATCAGTGCAAAGTATATCTTGAAACCCTCCGGGCTCGTGACCACGACCCCTCTTCCTGCTCCTTTTTTGCTACTTGATTCGTCGGTGGCCAATGACCACCAAGCCGCCTCGGGGTGGTCGGTGCACTCGACCAAGAAGTCTGCCAACGCTTGACCCTTTATTGCCGGTCGTGGTCGGTACTCAATGGCATACTGAGTCAGCATGAGCGCCCACTTAACTAAGCGCCCTGAAGAAGAAGCGGTTCGGAGGACTAGTCCGATCGGCTGATCAATCAACACATGGATGGCTCTACCTTGAATATAAGGAGCCAGCTTCTTCACAACTATATATAGAGCATAGACCACCTTCTCTAACCGGGAGTACCGGAGCTCGGGACCATGGAGCGCGTGGCTTACATATTAAACCGGTCGCTGGATCCCCTCCGAATCGGTTCGGCACAAAATGGCACTTACTACCCGATCGGATACGGCGAGATAGACCTCTAGCCGCTCCCCAAGCTCGGGCTTCGACAGTATGATCGACGACATAAGATACTCCTTCAACTCGTCGAAAGCCGCTCGGCATTCATCGTCCCAGACGAATCCATTCACTCTGCGCAATACCTTGAAGAATGGTAAGGCGCGCTCGGCTAATTTGGAGAGGAAACAGCTCAAGGCTGCCAACCGACTGGTCAATTGTTGCACCTCCCGAACGATAGTGGGCGGCTGCATATTCAGAATAGCCTTGACCTTAGCCGGGTTGGGCTCGATCCCTCTTTTAGTCATCATATAGCCAAGAAACTTCCCCATTTGAACCGCAAATGTGCACTTGGTAGGGTTCAATCTCAGCTGGTACCTCCGCATAATCTGAAAATATTCCCGGAGGTCCGAGTGTGGTCGGCTCGGTCCCGACTCTTGACCAGCATATCGTCTATGTATGCTTCCATCGCTCAGCCCAAAAGATCTGCAAAGAGCATGTTGACCATCCTCTAATATGTAGCTCCCGCGTTGCGAAGGTCGAACGGCATCACTCGGTAACAGTACAGCCCATCCGGGGTCTCGAAGGCTGTCTTGCTCTCATCTTCATGGTGCATCATTATCTGGTGATAACCCTTAAAGGCATCCATGAAGCTCATGAGCTCGGTCCCGGCCGTCTCGTCGACCATTTGATGAATGCTCAGGAGTGGGTACGGGTCGAGCGGGCAGGCTTTGTTGAGGTCGGTAAAGTCTATGCACATCCTCCATGCTGGGGGTTTGGGAACTAGAACAATATTTGCCACCCACTCGGGATAGATAACCGGTCGGATGTGCTCGATCGCCGCCATCTTTTTGACCTCTTCTCTCACGAACTCTCGACGATCGGAAGATAAATTCCGCGTCTTCTGAACGACCGGCTTTGCCGCGGGATCTACGGCAAGTTTGTGGCAGATGACTGTACGGTCGATCCCGGGCATGTCCTTGGGCCCCCACGCAAAGATATTGGCAAATTCCCGAAGGATTGCCAGCACTTCTGATCGTAGCTCGGGGGTAAGGGCCCGACCTATTTTGATCTTCCTGTCTGGTCGGTCCTCGGACAGGGGAACTTCTTCAATCTCCTCGGAAGGTTCAGGTTGTTCCTTCTGATCACTGGTAGCTTCCTTCACGATCGTATTCACCCGGGAAGACGTGCCAGTATCATGCTTGTTGACGGCCTGGGTGTAACATTTCCTCCGGATTGGACGTCTCCGCAAACCACACCGACCCCGTTCGGGGTGGGGAATTTCATGCATAGATGGGGCATTGAAATTATCCCACCGATCTTCATTATAGCGGGTCGGCCTAAGATGATGTTGTGGACGCAGTGCAGATTTACCACAACAAACTCCAACTCGGTCTTAACAGATTTTGGTGGGGTGTCGATCTCGACCGGGAGTGTGATTTTTCCCTCGGGGCGAATGAGGGCCCCAGTGAATCTTGACAAGGGTACACCGACCGGAATCAGCTCGCTCTTGTCTAAATTAAGCTTTTCAAACACATCCAAATAAAAGACGTTAACACTGCTCCCCGTGTCCACCATGACTCTGTGGACATCAGTCCCGTTCACGTCAATCGTGACCACGAGGGCATCCAATCCGTGGTCATCGCTGTTAGGTTGATCCTCCAGGGTGAAGGTTATAGGCTCCATCTTTTGCCTTTTCCTGGTATCACGGGAGTCTACGATCACGACCGGGCAGTTCTCCCTTGGCCGGGAAGCGTCCTCCAAACCGCCAAAGATCACATGGATGGTCGATTTGGCTGCTGGTCGGCTGATAGATGGAGGGTCCGGGTCTCTGCGGTCTTGACCCGACCGATCTGAACGATATGAACGATCAGAGCGATCTGAACGGTGGTGAGAACGCCTGTGATCTCTCCGGTCGGTCTCCTTCTTTGTCTCTTCCCTTTTACCCACACACTTATTCAGCTTTCCCAGACTCAGCAAATCTTCCAATAGCTGCCTTAAGTATGTGCACTCCTCCGTGTCATGCCCGGCACAACGGTGATAAGCGCAATGCTTAGATTTATCCGGTACGTCTTGCCCGGGATGAGGGAGGCGAATAAGATTGCAGGACTGAGCGTACTGCATGGCTTCCGCTGCAGATCAGTTCAAAGCCGTAAACTC